GCTGAAAAAAGTTTAAATTAGCAAAAAGCAGCTAAACAGTAGCTATAAAAGCAGAAATAAGCTAAATTACCAGAAGGAAGTGGAGAGAGCGCATTTTTATTGAATTAGTCAGGAAAAAAATTTGAAATTAGTGCAAAAAAATGTAGAATTAGCTGAAAAAGCTAAAATTAGCATAAAACAGCTAAATAGTAGCTGAAATAGAAGAAAAGGCTGAAACTTGCAGAAATAAGCTGAAAGGAGGGTGACAAGCTGAAATTAGCAGACAGAATTTAGAAGAAGCATAAAGAATAAAGCTGAAACGAGTACAAAACAGCTGAAAAAATCAGCTGAAAGTAGCTGGAAAAAAGTTTACATTTGCACAAAGAAGCTGAACCAGAACAAAACGTAAAAGGAGCAGTGAACGGTTGTAAACAGATCCAAAGATTTGAAGGATGTAAAATGAGCTCAGTTCATTTTCTATAAGAAAATCGTGGCAGAAAAGGCTAAATATTTCAAAAAGCTACAGGCGCACCAATACCCAAAGTCACAGCAGGATTGTCCTGAAAGAGCTGAACGTTCTGATAAATGATTTGTTGAAATAAGACGAGAATCACTTCAAAAAATGTACTGAAGAAAAATGGATGACAATAGTGTGAATGCTTCTTAAACATTCACACAATAATGGTTTTAATACAAACCAGGGAATATAAATTAACATGAGCTTAAACAGAAACAAAGTCAAGCAGCTTCAGAGTGAGAACAAACGCTCAAATTATCTTTATAAGAGACGTCAGAATGATTAGGCTGAGAGAAGGATGTTGGAAACCTGTGTTTGAGTATTCATGACTCAATAAAATAAATAAAAAAGTCTAATGGAAGCATTTCAAGTATGGTGACCACACAATAAACCCCTCTGATCTTCAGATAAATAATTAGAACATAATTATGTGGTCTGAGATCATCTTGGTGGAATAAGTCCCGACTCTTAAGTCAAAGGAGGAATCTGCATCTGTGGAGCTAAAAGTGATGAAGTGGTGAAGTTAAAACCACAACAAGCAGGAACCAACAGCGTCAGGACATCTTTCTGATGACAGCAGCTCAGTGAGTTGCTGCACTGATGTCTCTTCACTTAATGAGTTCAAATACGACGAGTGAGCTGAAGGCCGCTCCTTGAAGGAATGCATATCACCCGCTGCCTTTCATGTGAGTTTTAAACAGATCATTTTATGTTGACAAATGACGGAGTTGAAGCCATTTTGGTCAAACCATGAAATAATGTGTAAATATCTCAAGATATCACTCTCAGAGTACGTGTTGTGAATAACTCTCAGCTACCACTGCACCCAATTTGAGCTCAGATTTCATAAAAATTTACTGAGTTATAGCTATTTTTGTGATGATAATATAGATTCACTGTAGTAGCCATCTTGATTGTTATTGATTTCTAAAGGTAAACATTTGTAGATGTACATCCAGCAATTACTTTCTGGAAGACTCGTTAAAATCCATACAGTGGTTTATGAGATATTTTGCTAACAGACAAAAACTCCAAAAAAAAAAAAAGATAATAGCAAATTGTCAAACTGAGATCTTGCACAATCTGTTAGGGCTCATTGTATGAGTTGGGGATCAGTCTCAGCTACTACCACGTCAAATTTTAGCTCACTATCTGCCAAAATGACTGAGCCTTGTCTGGTTTTTGAAGGTCACTTAGCAGCGGCAGCCATCTTGAATCAGGCTGACTCCAAAAGTTGTAGAAATGATTCATTTCTCTAGGTTTCATCAAAAATGTGTCCAGTTGTTCATGAGATATTTTGCTAACAGGCAAAAAAAGTTTAAAAAACAGTGAACTAATCCTGTCAGAGCATGACAGCTTAAAATGATTTTATCATATTGCGACTTAAATAACATAAAGAAAACACAAAAAGTTTAACTAAAATGTTTGTAATTGTAAAGTTCAAAGTTCTTTGATCATAAACAAGTGGGCCTAAATCTACCATCCGCCCTAAAAGTTGTTACAAACTTGTCACTTTTCCACCTGTGACCACAGTTAGTACATGTTTAGTTTCCGGTTCTTTATTTTATTTTATTTGACAGTGATGAGAGACTGTTCCGACCACCTGCTCAGAGGCGACACAAGAAGCGGGCTCTACCTGGTGACCCCTGACCTCCGCAGCAGCAGCTTCCAGGTGTTCTGTGACATGGAGCGGGCCGGCGGAGGTTGGACCCTCCTGCAGCGCCGGCAGGACGGCAGCGTGAGCTTCAACCGCACCTGGGCGGAGTACCAGTCCGGCTTCGGGGAGCTGGACGGAGGAGAGTTCTGGCTGGGCAACAGGATGATCCACCTGCTGACCCGCGACAGGGACATGGCGCTGCGGGTGGAGTTGGAGGACTTCGACGGAGTGGCGGAGCATGCGCAGTACGAGCAGTTCAGGGTGGCAGGTGAGCGGCAGCGCTACAAGCTGACGGTGGGCGCGTACTCCGGGACTGCAGGTGATGCTCTGCGCTTCAGCAAAAGTTACGACCACAACAACAGGGCGTTCACCACCCCCGACCGGGACCACGACCGGTACCCGTCAGGGAACTGCGGGGCCTATTACGGCTCGGGCTGGTGGTTCGATTCCTGCATGGCCGCCAACCTGAACGGGAAGTATTATATTGGGAACTACAAAGGAGTCCGGGATGGGATTTTCTGGGGCACGTGGCATAATATATCAAAGGAGTATTACCCCACAAATAAGAGACAGTCTTTTAAATCAGTCAGGATGATGATCAGACCAAAGGGCTTCGCCCCAGAGGTGCACAACATCCAACAGGAGGATGCTCCTGACAAGTTTTAAAAACATTTAGTATTCGGTTCACTTATTATTCATTATCAACGCAATGCTGCCCCTTTGTGGCGTTAGGCAGTGTTGCTTACAATGTTTCAATAACTGATGATCATGTGTCAAAGTTAAGGTATGTGGGCCAGAAATGACCCTTGTCATTATTTTCTCTGGCCCACAAGAATATATTTAAAATGAATTATAACCTGTTGGCCGGTCGGTGACAGATTGAGTTTGTGCAGACTTCTCATGGTAATAAGCCAACTTTGATGTGAAGGATAGTTAGAATATTTCAGTCATCTTCGGTTTGTGCAGAAGTGGGTGGTTCCTTTAAAAAACAGCACTGAAAGCACCACTGCTTTCCTGTAAAGGTGAAAACTAATTTATACAAGTTTATCAATTAGGAAAATAATAGTGTTTTTTTTATGTGACTTTTAATCAATATACAGTATTCACCTTTATTTAAAAAAAAAAAACCAATAAATTGACTTATTGCATCTGAAATCCAAGTTCAGTTTAAATCTTTTTTCAATAAATACAGAGGTTTAGCTAAGATAGGGCCATTTAATTTTAGCCCTTTGTGTAACTGAACTTGACACCCCCGGTGTACAGAGTTTGTTTTTGTTCTTTATGATCTATTTTTTTTAATTGTTGACAATGAAATGTATGACGAGCTATATTTCTAGCTATCTGAAGTGTCACTCAGACGGGTATGTAGCAAGAGATGTGTTTTTGGTCAGTTATGAATTCAGACTGTTTGATATGTTTTATAAATGTTTGTTCAAATGATAAATAAAATATGTTTATTAAAAATAATTGCAATCTTTCTTTTTAAATTGAAGAGAAATCTGAATTTTCAAAATTAACGCATTTCACGATTTAAGCAGGCTGCATGTTAAGACTCCAATTAGATTGCTGTTGATGATGATGATAGTTTTGGACATGTGTGCTCTGTTTGCATGTGTAAACGCCTACTTCTCAAGAATTCTTAATGGTGGTTAGCGCTATACCCTCAGGCACCTTAATATTGTTTAAAAACACTAACAGTTCTCTGTCTACTCCAGTTACTTTCCCTGGTCCAGCTGAGTCATTGGTGGAAAACCTGCTGTTCACAGGAGCATGGTAACAGTATAAGAGAAACAGGTCAACATAAGCGGTGTCTGTGGAAGCGGTGATTTGGGATCAATTCAATCCAGTTTATTTATATATTTATTTATAAATTGTATAGCACCAAATCACAGCAGAAGTCATCTCAGGGCACCGCACAGCAACATTTACATACATAAAAACTTAACGTTATTTATCTAGGAAGCCAGCAGATTGCTTTGAATCTTCGCTTCGTCACAGTTTCCCATCTTAACCAAGCACAGAGGCAACAGTGGAGTCTACAGGAAAAACTCCCTCATGAGGAAGAAACCTCCAGCAAAACCAAGCTCATGACAAGTGGCCATCTGCTTCGACCAACCCATCAGCTTTTGATCAATATATAAAATTATTTTGATGTAATGATATATGTTTAAAACTCAGATATGCTGACTAAAGTATGCAGGATAAAAGTTATTTGTTTACAATGAGTGTATATTGTATTTCAGAACTGAGTACCAGCATATCTGATAAACTACTGGAGTAAACCCTTCAAAACTGCACCATTTGATATATTCATTCATCCATCTATTCAACCTGTATTTATACAGGTTAATCCCATTGAGCCTCGGGGACTCATTCACAAGAGAGGCCTGATTTCTTTAACAAAAAGTGATGACAACAGTGGATAACAATGACAACAATAGAAAATCATAAAAGAGGCATGGAGATTTATTTTTTTTAATTATTTTATTTTACAAATTAGAATAAAATGGTAACCAAAAGGAAAAAGGAAAGGAAAAAGTAGCGAAAAAACAGCTAGATTACAGGTATAAGGAGGTGCAGAAAACTAAAAACAGGAACATGTTTGCATAGGTTTTTGCCAGAAACTTATATATATATATATATATATATATTGTGTGGAAAATATGAGAATGGCTACTATAGGTTTTATTACTCTAATCTCAACATTTATTGTTTTTGTGGAGTGCTTTGCTGCACTAAACGTTTAACAGAACATGATTATCCCTGGGACTTGTATTTTTGAAGTTGAACCCTTTATTTTGAAATCTAACCGGATGTAGCTCTTGTTCCGTTAGCTTAGCGGCGGTGACGCGTTTCACGGCTCGCACTGACTGAATGGCAGCGCATGTGGTTCAGGAGTTTGAGTTTCTGTGTTCCCAGCAGTTCAGGAGTTGGTTCCCCGGCCGGTTACGGACATGTTTGGAGTTTCAGCAGCTCAGCGAGGATCCGTCGGACTCTTCCGCTGCTGGCTGCTGACCGTCAGTCCCACAACAACCCCCCGGTGGCCTCTGCTGTCTTCTCGGTCGTGTTTCGGTTCTGCCCCAGATAAATCACCAGCACTCGAACCTCTGCGGCGGTGGGCGCTGACGGTCAGCCCCTTCACCACAGTGAAGGCCCAGGTATCCTGCAACATCATCATCCGCCCGCTGGACCCGCACGCCTTTCCCGAAGCTGACCGAGCCTTCATCTCAGTCCACGGTCCGAACAGCCACCAGGTGGACTGTCAGAACCACATCCAGGTCCACTACGACGAGCAGAACCAGGAGCTGGTGATCTCCACTCAGAGGGTCGACAGTCACGTGACGATTGAGATGGACGCGCCTCTCAAAAGCAGTGAGTTTATAAAAACAATCTGTCATAAATCAAACCGAAATAAATCCTTGAATAAAGTCCGTTTCTGCCAGATCTGTTCATCACCACTGAAGGAAAAGGAGACGTGGAGGTGAAGAAGATGGAGTGTGAAATCTGCAGAGTGCAGACACAAACTGGCAACTGTTTACTTCATTCAGTCAAGGTGGGTCCAACATACTGTAGAAAATATAAACCTCATTTTAATCCAGTCCATTTGCCATAGTGTCCTCTGTTTTATCTGCAACCACTCCTTTATTTCACTTTAGGCTTTGTGTCTCGGGTCATAATGAAACAAAGAACATCTGATTTTGTATGTTCTACTGTCTTTGTTACCAGGTAAACAGAACTCGCATAAAACAATATTGGACTTATTAAACACTATCAATAATAAAATTTAACATTAAGTAAAGTACGCTTAATTAAAAGAGACCCTGCTGTTTTTTTTCTTTTATGTCTGAGGTGACGCTTCACAAACCTCAGTAAAAAGTTTTAGAAAAACCTCCCTCAAAAAGTGCATTTGATTTTACAGAACTGGATCTAAAACCATTTTCTTCATCTCAAATGCTTCAAAACGATTTGCAGTTAGTTAAATTTGGAGATATATCGTCTGGCAACAAGCTACTTTCATTTACAAGAGCGCTGGTTTGAAACCAATTTTTTTCTAGAATGATGTCATCAATCCCAAATTTTTGCAACGATGCCAAACATTATAGGATGAGAACAAAGTCCATGCTCAATAATCCAGGTATACAATCCAACATTTTTCAGTCAGGTCATCTGGGCAGTTTCTGGTGAAGGCTTCCGGATCGAAGGCGAAACGTTTCAGCACAAAAAAAGAAACTGTCCAGATGACCTGACTGAAAAATGTTGGATTGTATACCTGGATTATTGAGCATGGACTTTGTTGTTTTCAACCAGTTTGACACGACTGTCAACAAGGAAGAGTGCCGGCAATGGAGGAGGGGGCGTACCAAAGAGACCATCTTAGCACCAACATAACTGGTTTGTTCCACTTTGGAGTAAGCTGTTGGGGGAAGAATCAGTTTTGTTTTGTGTGTTTCCTTGACTGATGAAGCCTTCTGGATTGAAGGTGAAACGTTTCAGCACAAAAAAAGAAACTGTCCAGATGACCTGACTGAAAAATGTTGGATTATAGGATGAGATTTCCCTGCGCTGCAGCCGACAGAGAAAAATGGTCAATTTCAAAGAAATTACAGTACAGGGGTTTTAAAACCAAGGATTATTATCTGTTAGAAAACTTCAGTTTAAAGGTAGATTAGGAATAATGTTATTTTAGTTACCTGTATTGCTTGGTTGAGTCTCTTGTGGGCTCATTTTGCAGAACGGGTTACGTATTCTTCCACATGACAGATTAGAAGCTATCTTGAGGGGAAATCATAAACTTTAAGGTTTGGTCATTTTTGGACTATAAATTGTTCAAAATTGTTGACCATGTGTGACTGCAACGATTTGAAACGTGCTTCTAAGGAAGAGGCACTTCTCTGAAAGGAAAACTCGTCCTTCAAACCCAGCTGTGAGTCAACTGCTGCAACATCTGTATTTGGATGTTAATTTGGATTGGCTGAGCTCCACACAGATTCATCATGATGAAATGCGAGTACCTTCATTAAAGCAGGAGGTTTTGTTTGATTCATCAAACGTCTGCAGACGTCTGGTTCTTGTGTTTGTTGTATTTTAGGGTCATCGGATTGAGGTGCGGTCCCACGGGGGACACGTTACAGGTCTGGGCACGATCCATGGCAATGTGGACATCAACACAAGAGGAGACGGTGTGAGTAGAGGGTTTTTTCAAGTTCGTGTTCGTATTGTCAGCAGCCAGGGGGCAGCAGCTGCTTGATGCAAGATTCAGCAGCAACGAGTTGCTTTTTATATTTAAAAAAAAAAAAAAAAAAAGTATTAGTCAGTCCAAGTGTTTTTTTTCTTTCTCCAGTGGGTGAATGTTAAAAAGCTCCAGGGCACAACGATGAACGTTTCAACAGAACATGGGTCTCTGAAGGTCAAAGCCGTCTATGCTGAGTCCAACAGTGTCTCCTCCTGCTCTGGGCCAGTTGAACTGGGTCATGTTCACGGTGAGCTGTGGTCCACCTCGTCCCTCTAAACATCCTGATTTATAGGAAACGGGTGTCTTGTGTTACATCTGAACTCAGCGCAGACTGAAGCTAAAGCTAAAAGTAATTAAGTTCAGGAAGTCCAGGTTTGCTCCCTGAAATGTGACTCTAAGTTGACAGAGTAATTACATGAAGAGCACAAAGCAGCTTAACATTTAATTAATGGTCAGTTCTTCTAATAAACATTAATAAACCCAGTTAAATCAACGTATGTCAGGAACCTCCGTGTGAATTAAGAAAATGAATGAACATAATGTTTAAAGAAACTAAGACCCACAAGGAGAACCGTTGTTTTCGACACCAAAGTAAATTCTGGTACACATATGCTTTACATTTCTTGGTAAACCTGGATCATGGTTCATATTTGGGCTCAGATTCAAGGACGGTTGATTTAAATGCAACGTGGTCTCAATTTATCACGTATTAGCCAAATATTTTGTTTTGTGATGGCTATAAAGTTAGCTTTTAAAAACCAAATCTTTGATCACAAAGTCAAATCGCTCTGATGTAAAGAAGGAAAAAAGACAAAACTGCGTCATCCCGTAGGAATTTTAATTTACTCCTGATGCAAATGAGTCTCAAACATGTAGAAACACACCACGGGTCATTTCAGCTGTGCTGAACGGTGATTTGTTTTTCAGAGAAGTTGTGTTGTTTAGTTGATCCTGACGTTGTTGTCCTTCTTTAAAGGGAACACTACAGTGAAGAACGTGTCTGGAGACACCGTTATTGGTGAGCAGACTGGCTGCGCTGTGACCTCTGTACGTTTTTATCAGAGGCTGGTAAAAATGAAATAAACACCCGATGTTCACTTTTCTTTTGCAGATGGTTCGAACAGTTTCCTGAAAGTTTCCTCTAACAGCGGAGACATTGATGCGTATGTGGGAGACGGCGGTGCTGCTGAACTCCACAGTCAGGAAGGTGAGGGAACAACTAGAACAAGCGTCACGTCATACACCACGTTGCTTCTTTTTGTACAGCTATACCTGCTGGGTGGAATGGTTTCTAACCCCTGATTGTTTGTCTTATGTAGGAGCAGTGAGTGTGCGTGTCCCGTCCTCGTTAAGAGTTGGTGTGAATCTCTGCGGAGCGTCGGTGGAGATCAGCCCGGAGGTTGTTCTGCACGGAGTGGAACACAACACCACTGACGGCTGGACCACACTTACTGGTGAGCTCTTATCTTTAATTATGATGGTTTGTAATTACAAAGTTACAAAACACCTGAGGCTCAGCACAGAACATTGTGTTTCTATTTTTAATTTCCCCTCTCAGGCTGTCTGAACGGAGAGTTTCCAGCCGACCGGTGGGTCAGAGCTCGAGCAGAACGAGGCCCCGTCAGACTGAGGACACAAAGCTGGTTCGAGTCCCTGAAACTAGGAAGCTAGAAGATGTGATCAAAGCTGTCGCTCCACCGGAGCTTTATTTTTTATATAAACTGAATGTTTTCAGCTTGAATATACAACTCTGTTCTCAAGATGTCCATCCATCCATCCATTTTCTTTACCCGCTTATTCCATTTTGGGTCACGGGGGTCGCTGGTGCCCATGTCCAGCAATCACTGTGCGAGGGGCGGGGTACACCCTGGACGGGTCGCAAGTCCATCACAGGGGCACATAGAGACAAACAAACATTCACTCTCTCACTCACACCTAGGGACAATTTAGAGTTACCAATCAGCCTAACATGCATGTTTTTGGTCTGTGGGAGGAAACCGGAGCACCCGGAGAAAACCCACGCATGCACGGAGAGAACATGCAAACTCCACCCAGAAAGGACCCTGGACCGGGGTTTGAACCAGAGACCTGCTTGCTGAGAGGCAGCAGCTCTACCAGTTGCACCACCGTGCTGCCCGTTCTCAAGATGTACTTTAGTTTATTTAATGCTTTTTAAATATTCTGCAAATGTCAAATCACTGCACTGTAGATATGTCATCAACTGGGTTTATAAATATAAAGTTCTGCATTTGTTACATTTAGCTCAGACACTTTTAGTTTAAGAAATTAACAGCTTATTCATGTTTTTCTAGTTTCTATGTTTGACTGGAGGTTAAACTGGAACAACATTGTTTTCTTCTATAATGAGGCTTTAGTTAATGAAAGTCCATAATTTAAACATTGTTTCCAGTAACTATTTAAAATATGAAGCACATATCAGACACACTGTGTTCTAGTTTGTGTTCTGGTGTTTGTTGTTGTCTCTTCATGAGCAAACACAGAATAGAACAGATAAAAAGATGAATTAGTTAAAAAGTGCTAAAACCAATGCAATTAAATACAAGGCCCAGAAGGTAATTGAACTGGTCAGGTTAGACTTACTGGTTCAAATATAATTTATAATTTTATAATTATTTCCATACACAATGTTATTATGAAGGTTTGTGAGCAGATATCAGTGATGTGAAGCCAGAGGCTCTGTGTTGTACACAGTATATTGAAGTTGTCATGTTTCAAAGAAAGTGTTTAAAGTAAAAAATAAAAAAACAGCTGTTGAGTGACGCTCTAATGTCAAAAATATGTCTCCAATATTACAGGCTCTGCTTGTACAAAATGTAGATGTGTTTACATGAAAACCAGCCATTAGGGAGCACAAGCCAGTGTATCCTGTGCTGGTCCCAAGCCCAGGTAAATGGTGAGGGTTGTGTCAGGAAGGGCATCCAACGTAAAAAAAAACGTTTTGTTTTTTTTCCAAAACTATAATGCGAAGTCATCTAAGCGTCTATGAGAGTGGTGATTGGAGCAAACCTGAATGGACATGTTTGTGAAAGAAACCAGGGATGAAGAAGTGATGGGTAGGTTTGATGTCAAAGAAAGAAACCAGGAAGGACGGATGGTGAGAATGGAAATAGCTGTAGTCAACACTTATTTCCAAAAGAGGGAGGAACATAGAGTGACCTATAAGAGTGGAGACAGGAGGTCGACTACATTCTGTGTAGAAGAGGAAACCTGAGGGAGATTGGAGTCTTAAGTTGTGTCGGGAGAGCGTGGCCAGACGGCATTGAATGGTTGTGTAAAATGACTGTTTTGAAGAAGAGAAAAAGACCAAATGATGGAAGCTGAAGTAGGAAGAATGTGAGAAATTCAGAAGCCCCTCTGTTTGCAAATGGGTCCTAGACTTATTAACAAACAGACCACAGTCTGTGAGGATCCACAACTTCACCATAACCTTCAGCACAGGCTTCCATGAGGGCTGTGTGCTGAGCCCTCTCCTGTTCACTCTGGTCACGTATGACTGCACCTACCCATCCAGGCTGTCATATTGTAAAGTTTGCAGATGATACAGCGGTGGTGGGATGCATCACATGAGTCTGGCATCAATGTGAAGAAGATTAAGGAGGTGACCGTGGATTTCAGACGGCGCAAACTCACCTGAGGCACACAGGAGTAAAGACTGAAACAAGAACAGACACGTGCAAACAGAGAGGAGCCATTTGCCCAAAATACACCCGGAAGACAAAAAGCTGTGTTCAGTCTGAGAGAAGCGGAGTGGAGAGACTATTTACCAACTGAGAGGACCACAAGAACCAACCTGAGTGCAGCCGGACAGGTCGAGGTGGAGGAGATTGCGGCCGGCCGTCCCTGTGGTCAGGTACAGAAACCCTTTATCTGTGAATCTGCAGCAGTAGGCCAGACTCAGATACTGAAGTCTGACACAGCTCCTGTTTAGAAAAATAATTTTATACAAGAGCATTTCAGTTTAGCATGTTGCTGTTAGTGTTATGATGTAAAGTCTTGATTTAATGTTCAAATCGAGCAACACAGCTATTATAAAATTCCAGCTGTTACAAAAGCAGCATCTGTTCCTCTTAATCATTAGGCTGAAACTGATCACTAATCAGAGCTCAGATGTTCCATCCATCCATCCATCCATCCATTATCTTTACTCGCTTCTTCCTTTTCATGTAAATAAAACGAGCTAGAAAAAGGTTGAAATTGGAAAAACAAGAGCCGACAGCTGGAGAGAAGAGGCATAAACTCTGAAGTTATTTATCTCTTTGCAGCAGCAGAACTTGAACACAGATGGGTTTTACCACAGCTATAGGTTCACCTGGATATTTCTTTTAGAGTGGTGTTTGTGATGAGGGTGCACGAAAGGTTCAAGTAGAGCAGGCAAGGGCAGCCCTGGATAATCCTCTGAACCACCGTGTCCTGTTGGAGAGCAAATTCTAGATGTTACAATTTCTCTGAGGGAGGTGTCCGATGCAAATTTAACTACTTTTTTAATGTTTTCAAAGAAAAAAATACTTGATGAAACAGCAGAAGACTGAAACAAAATAAAATCTCAATGCATTCTGTTAGCATGATAATCTATTTTATAATATGTGCTGGAAATAAAGCAACACAACTGACAGGTCAGTTGCTAAAACGTGCACATATCATAAAAAGACGAGGATTATCTTCACACTTCATGTTACTCACCGTAACACTGACACACTCTGACACGTTGAGCTCCTGCAGATTTCTGCATTCACCTCATGAAACAAAAAGAAAAACCCTTTTTAATCTATGCTGACAACTTTTGGAAATACTCTTGAATAATTATACTATATTTTAACTGTAATGTAATAAAATAATAATAATAAATGAAACCAGTGCAGAGTGTATGATATCTTTGTCCGATTCTTGTTTCCTACGATGTTCTTCTTTTAAACAGCAGCTTTATTTCTTTTAAAATAACACAGCTGCCCTTGTGACCTTTTTATTTCAGTTTCCCAGCCGGAGGACTTTGATCTCTGCTCACTGCTGGAAAGAAAACCCGTGCAGGGCTCAGGATGCGTCTGATCCTCTTCCTGTACTCAGCCTCTCTGCTCCTCCTGCTGCTTCCAGTCATTGAGATGAAAAAACCCGGGAAGGGCAGAGGTCTTAAAAAGGCGAGACAGAAACTTTCACAGGACAGGTATCTATTTGGTCTGGGTGATAATCTGTAGAATCCATCATTCAAAGACTCCACTGACTATCTACATTTATTTGTGTTTTGGGCTTAGGCGCCAGAGCAGATCAGGACCCTCCAGGTTTGTGAGACCAAATTTTGTGGATTGTCACTCAGGATGGACATCTCCATCTCCGCCTCAAACACCTGGTCCCAAGTTCCAGGGATTGTTATGTAAACGCAGGTAGCGAAGGTTTGGCATGGGGATCAGGGCTTCTTCACTGAGTGTAGTCAGTCGGTTGTGTTGCAGAAGAAGGGTTGTAAGTTGTGTTAAGCCGTCAAACGCTCCTTCCTCCAAAAGAGAGATCTGATTCTGTTGGAGGTCCAGACTGATTAAACTATCGTAACCTAAGAAGGCTCCATCATGGAGGACTTTAATTTGGTTTTGGGCTAGAAGGAGGAACTTGGGTTCTTCAAATGAATCAAACATCTTTTTGTGACCAAAACCCAATCAACCTGATCTGTTGTATTTAGTCTTTTTTCAGCTGGATTGAAAAACTAGATTTTACATGTCCTTGCTGACAGTAATGAGCAACAGGTTTGTTCACATGTGCATTTAATGAAAGATGGAAGAAACAAATAAGTTGTACAGAAAATCAACATCTCAACTTTCTTTCTCTCAGCATCCCTGTCTGGGCTTTTGCATCTTCATGAGCTGGATTTGTCAGACAACAAACTGAGTTCTGTTCAGTATGGGGTTCTTGAAGATCTTTACTTCCTGTCACAGCTAAAACTAGAAGGAAATCCTTGGGTCTGTGACTACAAGTGAGTTCTTATGTCTGAGTACCTACAAAACCTTCCTTGGACGTGAACAATTACTAAAAGCTTACTTTTTATCTTCAGCATCCACTACATGGTTTACTGGTTACGTCTGCACCCAGGAGTGAAGTACTCCGGACTGCTGTGTCACTCTCCTCTGGAATACTCAGGTGAGAGTGTGCAGGAGTATGTGCACTCCTACAACAGAGAGTGTCCCAAGGACAAACAGCTCAGCAGACTCTGCAACTTTTTAAGGTAGCATAATGTGGACAAGCAGCCCGTCTCTGTTTCCATGTTAAAGAACTATTTATCAGGAGACGTGTTTTACAGAAACATCAGGCAAAGAGAACCAACACTGCTCTCACTTGGCCTTAGAGTTTCTTATGGAATACTTTTTACACCAGTGTTTTATTTATCTCAATACTTCTTGCACTTGTGTATATTTGCAAAGATTAAAGAAACTGTTTTTTTATGTTGGCAGTTTGTATTTTTTATTTCTATACAATCGTATATTCTTGTGTGAAAATAATTCATAATACACGATTTTTGTTTTCATGGGTAAAGTTGTACAGTTAAGTTTTATGTTTTCTCCTGTGTGTGTTTATATGTTTGTGTATTGACAATTTCTGTCTAGCCATGTTTTCCTAAAATACAAATTAATGTAATGAAAAATGTACTATTAGAACATTCTATTATTTACTTGACTTGATGTACTTAAGTTACTTTTTTATGTCAAAAAGTGCAATGTGTAGTTTTTGGTTATACTAATATAGGATTTGACAGAAAGTGATTTGCATGTTAAGTATGTAACTATACAAGAATTAGAACGTTTTGAAATAAAAAATATATAAATGCTGGATAAATTGCACAATAAAAAGCAGAGCACAACATGTCCTTGCTTTACTAGTCAGAGGTGTAATATATTAGTTACGTTAAAAATGTAATTTGTGTTCTTAAAGTATATGCATGTAAACAACCCACTGCAGAGATATTTTAGTCTGCTGTTCTGTTCACAAATAATATTTTATCAGCATATTAAGACGTTATAGGTGCATCTGTCAACCCTGTCAGGCATAGGCTGATTTAGGGAGGATTATAAAAAAAATCAGATAGAATAGACAAAAACTGAGGACACAACTTTGACAAGCAGATTTGATTTGTTTTGCCGAGGAAAATATTGTTTAATATTCCCTATATGGATTGTTTTATGTATTTTTGTTATTTTGCTTGCACATATTTTTTGGGGGTGTGTCAATATTGTGACCGTTTTCCTGAGACAGGTTGAAAATCATAGACATCCTAACTACATACCACACATCTCAACAAAATCTTCCCCAAAAAGTAAAAAAAAAAGACTGCCAAAAATAATTTTGGTGTCCACTGTTCTTTTAGATGTAACCCCCACAGCTGATTGACAGTAACCAATTTTAAAATGACTATAACTAATTCAATTTTACAGCTATTAAGCTGAATTTAGGTGTGGTATTAGTTGAGTTAGGTTTTTATTTTAACTTGTAAATAGTTGATATCAGAATTTCCTGATTGCCACTAGAGGACTCCTGAGCACCACTTTTAAAAAGACCCTCTCACGTACACCGTGCTTTTATCTATATTATTCTATCTCCTTTTTAAAAAAATCACCACGCACGTATATCTTTGAAACCAATGAAACCATTAAAACTAAATGTATTTCCCTGGGTGTGATCCAGCAGCAGTGAACCCGGTGACCTGGTAGGAGGAGCCTAGCTTGTAGTTTCCGGGTCCCTTCCATCCCCTCATGCTGTTGCCAGGTATGCGATAATAAATCTAGTTTTAGAGTCTACAATACATAATAAGTACTAGTTTCAACAAACAAGCATAAACATAAAATAGTTTTGACATTTCTGCGCACTAACAAAAACCATTTATTCCCACCTCACTCCGCACGTGCAGTAGTAGTTCGAACAGAACTACACAGTAAAGCGACAGTAAGATAATTTGTCATTATCTATCTGGCAACCCCGATTCACACTGATTTCATCGCAGAACACGCCGGGTACTTTTTGTGCACGTTTCTATCCCCATTTAGCTTCATTATTCTTGACACAAGTTTCAAACGGTGTGACAACGTTTTATTCATTTGTTCCGTGGCATCCTCACAACAACCTGCCACATTAAACCGGGGAGGTGGGGGGGAGAGCTGTCGACTGCCTCATCATCCATGGTTTGCGGGAGTCCTGGGCCCCGGTACACCGGCTCCCGCTCCAGCCATGTCGGCTCAGGATGCAGCGGCTGGCGGCGGTGACAGAACGCGATGCGAACCGGCAGGTGATTTTTTTTCAACACCTCATTTATTACAATCATATAAGCGCTCTCATATTGCAGACTGCTGTTTGGCAGCGGGTGTTTATGTGCTGGGGAGGGAAAATGGAGGATGTTTATCGGCGCTTTACTGTAACTTTGCTGAAACTAGGTCAGTAGATCAGTGGAGCAAGCTCGCCCTCTACGCCATTTATGTAACACTACCCGACCTGGTTTGTCTGCGTTTTACCCAGTTTACTGCTATATTAGAGACAGCTTGTCGACAAAGATAACATTATTTGCTGTTAAACGGTGTATTTACTTCTTGTTGGTACTCGTACGATCAAACCTAGGTTAGCAGTGACATCGAGGCCTGTTTATCGGTGCTTCTCGAAGGATGTGTTTATTTGTAGTAGTAGCTCCGAACAGCTTGTTCTAATTATATTTTTGAGACTTTAAGTCTTTGAAAATAAGTGATGTCAAAGTGGTTTTATTACCTGATGATGTGTAGGCTTTATTGTGATCGTTTTGTTGAACGACTAAATCGTTTTAGCTGTTTTTATTTATTCGTTTAGCGTTAGCTATTAGTTAGCCTGTATTGTATGGCAGGCCAATGTAACTCATAATCAAACCAAATATTTACTGTTTAAGAAGAATTTCTTCTTTTTTTTTTTGTCAAAATGATATTCTTACCAATCAGGATTGAATTTGAAGACACGTGGACATTATACTAGTAAATAAATATATAAAGATGCATTTTCCATCTCAAAAGCTCCAACAAACTAAATTTGTTAACGTGTTGGTTTGAAAACTTTTCTTTTTGGTCTGGAATGACGTAATCAGGAAAATTTAGTCCAATATTTCGTAAGGATAATCCCTAAACTTCACAATGAGGCCCAAACTTTATATGATGGGATTTCCTGGTGTACGGCAGCTAGCTGAGAAAAATGGTCAATTTCAAAGTAATTTGTGTTATAAGACAAATAGTTAATTCTAAGGATAGACTTAAAAAAACAACAACAACAACTTCAGTTTAGATGGTAGATTACTGTTTTATTTATTGGGATCAAGATGGTTTCTTTGACATCTTTTTACACAAATAAAATACAGATAAAATCAATATTTTCATTTTTTTTAGTCTGCATTCTGTGTTTATTTTAACTAATTTTACCAGCAGGGTCACAAACACTCAGAAAAACATTATTTTTTAAATTTACAATCAACATTTCAGATGTCACAAATACCTTTCCTCAGACAATTTATGTAAGTTTTCATTTTAATTTGATTTCCAGCTCCAGATAACAAGTGCATTCTTTATTTTAAGAATGACTCTTGTCTGTATCTGAAATAAAATTATTTCTTGGAGGAACTTGCATTTTGCAATTCTATAATGTCTTTGTTATCAGTAATAATGTTAATTGATCCTGTTTTATGTTAAAAGTATATCCAATCACATTTTTGTAAACAAATTGCATTAATGCAATTTGTTATTCCAGTTGATGATGCCTGAAAACACTAATGTGAATGCTGGATGTCCATAATGATATTTTGATATTTTGCTTGTGGAAATTATTCTTTTTTAATGCTCATAATTATCATGTAACAGTCTTTGTCTTTTATTTCCATAATAATTGTATGGAAAGCTGAAGGGAATGGGAAATTTGTCATATTTTTTCAGAGAATCATATAATTTGTAATGTGTATTTCATGTAGGACTAATGGCGTTGGATAGTTAAAATATTCATTTTGATCAAAGTAGAGTTAAGAACATCTGCTTTGAAGATCTTTTCAGTTATTTCACAATTTTCCTGCTATTAAAACACTGCTCCTCAAACTCATTCATTCTTAAATTTGATGTGATATCAATTGAAAAACTGACAGCGTTATTCATGAACTTAATTTGAAAGGCTCAGAAATGGCATATTTTCAGTTTTCAAACCTAATTCCCATCTTTGACTTCTTAATGTGTGCAGTAGATCAACTGAGATATTTCTTCTGTAAAAGAAGGCCATTCAGTTAGTTCAGTTGTTGTTAGAATAGCCCATTCTGTTGCTCAGATTTAAAAACATGTTTTTCAAACAGGATGACTTGAATTGTAGTTTAGATCCATGGAGGAAAAATAAAGATTTATGATTTGGTTGCATACAGAAAATCAAATTTATATTTTATTTTTTTGTGGGACACACTCAAGTATTTACAAGTTTTTGAGGATCCGATTTTAAACATGCCTTAACTTTATCATAGAAGAGTGAAAGGCTGTCAGTGACATAGTTTGAAAGAAAGCAAAGTTTGTTTTTGTTCATAACACTTTTATCAGATATAAAAATGCCAGGGCGTTCTACAATTGAGAGAACATACAAGAGAAATAGAATACCATAAAATAGCAATGAATAGACTCATAAAGCAATAAAATAAGAAGCAAAAATTATATATAAAAAAAAAGCTTCAAGCTAAAATCACTGGTGAGAAAAGAAAAGTGGTCCCAACCCCATACAACATTCTGAAAACGTCTACTATCAAACTAATGCATTTTCCAGCCATTTAAAGTGCATTTTTCTTAATTTTTAGAAATGCAGTAATAAAATATAAAATCACTATATTATAGGTTTACTGAAAGCTAGAACATCTGTCTTACAACTAGCCTGTAAGCCAAACTAGCTGAGATCATACTGAACTTGAATTACCCTATTTTTTTTACACACTGAGCACCATGAGTAGTCACCACCAAAATCCTCACCCACCAAATCAGGACGGTCGACGGGTATGGAGGAAGAAAATTAGCTGTTTTCTAATGCAATTTTTACAAAATCCCCAAACAACTGTTTGATTATAGGAATTGTGTTTGAGGTATAAAAATCCTAATCAAAAACAGAAAGTTCCTGTGTTTTAAGAGGACAGATATTGATCTAAAATTGTTTCATTTTTGCCATCAATTATTACTGAAGATGGTTGACATTATCGACTCCATTTTTAATTGTTCATCACAGTCTCTGTAACCCAAATTTCCATGACCAGATCAGCAAAGACCTGACTTCTAATCCCCCTCAGTTTGCCAGATTCTGCAGGATAACAGGGTTAGAAGGCAAGTAAATAATGGACATTGGGTCGTAAACATATACTATACCCAACTTCTACAACACCTTTATCTCAGGCTCATGTGTTCATTAACCTGCTCATTCACTCAGTACTTGTACTACACACTGTGCATCTTACTGCTGCTAACAGGCGATGGAAGTTATTTCAGCAGCAGACAATAAACTTATTTTTATCCTAGCACCGCCAATATATTGTAGAATAAAGTTGTGGTCCAGCATGTTTTGATTGTTTTGTGTTTCAGATGATGTGCTGGTTGAAGAACAGAGCAGTTCGGCGTCTCTGCCCAGCTCGATGATCACATCTTTAACTGCTGGTGTTTCTCTGAGCTTGGGGATGCCCAGGAAGCGCAAAGGCAGCACCGACAACCAGTTGAGTAAAACTGATATTTTCATCAATATATTGACGAATCAGGATCTGGAGACCCAAACAACTTCTAATAATTGTTCATTTTCTTCATAGGGATTTAAACTTGGCTGCAATCAATGATGAAGATTTAGAGGATGACCTAAATGGGTGCTGTTTTTTTATTTTAGTATTTTTGTATGTTGTTTTTGTTTTTTTGTTTTTTTCATGGCAATTTGATGTAAATATTTGAAAGAACAATAAAACAATATTAACCAATTAAAAAAAATCAGCATTACAAAATCAGCAATTATGTAAATGAGGGGTGTCCAAAGTGCGGCCCGTGGGCCATTTGCGGCCCTTGGAGTGATTCAGTGCGGCCCTCAACTGTAATTAAAGAATGGTATAATTTTGACTCACAGGCTTAATCAAGTCAGATTTATTTATATAGCACGTTAAGAGGTTGATGCAGATGTAGACCTTCTTTAGATTTAATGGTGATACTTTTTAAATATAATTTTTAGGTTTAACAGCAAAACAGATGAAAATAATCTTCTTAACATGAGTTAACTTAAGTATAATACAAATATTTTTGCTATAATTAATCTCTTTATCCTACAACAAATCTTCACTGACCTACCAAAAAGTAGACTTTTGGATAATAATTCATAAAACTTGGCTTAATATAACAAGTGTTTTCAAAGAAAATAATTTCAGTTGAGTTAATAATCGATGGGGAGAAATTGGACATTTTAAAAGAATATAAAGTTGTATCATCGACATACAAGTTGATCAACTTTATCAGTGTTCCTTCAAACCTTCTCTGAATCTGTTTTAGTGACTCCCACCTGTTTTTCAGAACTTTGATGACCCATTTGGGTCGTCTGTGGTCCAAATGGGGGGGGGGGGGTGTTTTGAAGTTTCACCACCTTTTTTAAAGAACAGTTACTCATTTTAGGCTTTTGCCTATGAAAAGTATTTTCTGGACCGTGACTCCTTTCATCTAGACAGTTCTGGTATGAAAATGTTTGGACGCCCCTGGTGTAAATGCTTCCCGGTGTTGTTTTGTGTTTTTTGCAATCTAATTCCAAATATTTTATGCTATTTTACTGCCCGTATATCAAAACGTTCAACTGAATCAGAAACAGTGACTTTGACTTTATATATATATATATATATATATATATATATATATATATATATATATATATA